GCTGTTTCGCTTTCTCAGTGTTGAGGCATGGAGAGCAGATAGTGGTGCTGATATTCTCAAGTGGACGTTATTTCTGAATTAAATTACCGGAAGGAACCCTTTACACAATTTTTGAACCATGTTTTAATTCCCACCTGCTCAAAGACAATCTGGCCTATTTTGTTTTTCTTCATTTCTGCATTTTCTACTTTAGCTAGTTAAATTTAATCATTATTGGGGATAGGATAGGTGGGAGAATTATCTTCCTTACTATTTTGTGTGCATGTGTGAGATAAATCTCCTGTAGGCAACAAATTTGCCATTTCAACCGTCTTGACGTGTATAGTTCAGTGACATTCAATACGCTCATTATGTTGTTGGACCATCACCATTAAGTATCCCATCAGATACTAATTTTGAGATGCCCTGAATTTGGAGTCCTAACCCCTGCCCCCATTTCTTATTTACGGTTTTAACCTTGGTGTGGTGCTGGGGGGCGGTAATGGCTGGGCTGCATGGTCTGTTTGAATTGCACGGTTGGTAGTTCAACCTTACCAGCTGCTCCTTGGGAACCCTATACAAGGTTGCTGTGAGTCGGAATCGTCTTGATGGCACTTAACATTCACCTAATCAATCGTTTTAAATCTGGAAAATGGAGGTTCATGTTTATTGTGAATATTAATAGGTGAGACTCATAAACTTTGAGTACTGAATATTTGCTTTTTTCTCTTTATGTTTTCGGATTTAACTCCAAGTACTTTCTAGACCAATTATGTTTTTTAGACTAATTTTATATCATTTCCATTATTCTGTTTTTCTGATAGAGATTACTTTGTTTAAGACATGAATCCAGGCACCTAGAATATCCATTGACTTATGAATCTCGAGTTGACTTTTGTTGTTGTTGTTGTTAAGTGCCATTGAGTCAGTTTCGACCCATAGCGACCCTGTATAGGTTTTCCGAGGAGCAGCTGGTGAGCTTGAACTGCCGACCTTGCAGTTCAGACAGCTTTGCAGTCTGGCGCATTAGTCCACAGCACCACAGAGTTGACTTTAGGAGTTTATTATTCTTGTCAGCTGCGCTAAAAATTTTTGCCTTGGGAAATAAATGTCTTAGCACATTCATGAAAGTCAGAATTGAGAATTAGTCTGTTTAGGCAAAACAGTTGAATGTTATGGGTGACTTTAAAGTTTATACTTGTTTTAATTGGCCTTTGCCAGGTTGTGCATTTAACTATTGTGGCAAACTATGGAGATTCAGAAAGTTTGCCTTTCCCTCAGCCAAACATAAAATTATCACTCAGATAAGTTATCTGAATGATAATGCTCTCAATTTCCCAAATTATGTACCCTTAGAATGTGGAATGACTGAGTGCTGACTAACCTGCGAAGCACAGATAATTACACAAACCCTGTCTTTATCCCCCTTACTTCCCATATATTCTTAGAAATTCATTTTTAAGAAAAAATACACCCAGTGCACAATTATTTTAAAGTATGTTTATCTTCTCAGCAAGATGTAATTAAAATCTATCCAACACCGAACTTTTTAAAAGGAAAGAGTCCATAGACGAATGTTAAGACATTTAAGTAACCTGCTGTTCAGAATCTGAAGAATTGGAGATCACCTGGAATTCTGCAAAGGGGCTTAGAAATAAGGACACAAGAAAGCTGTGATGTTACCTTCAACCTGTCCCCTCAGGTTCTACAAGAAGGAGTGACTAACAGTGTCTTTGTTTTTTGATGGGGAAGAGGAAACTGTTTTATGCCAGTCATCATGCTAAAGATTAATGTTTCTCTTCAAAAATAGGACAGTGGGGTGGATACTTTTTGAGACGGGGAAGCTGAAACTCAGATTCAAGGTTTGTCATCCTCTTCTAGAAAGAAGCCAGGGCTCTAAGAATGTCATGTACTTTCCAGTTCTTTAAATGACTTTAAGAACAGGTTAGCATCTTAGTTGTTGCTACTTAACTTTGTAGTTACTTTAAAAACCTCATTAGCAGGGAAGAATGAACAAGACCTGGGGGAAAGTATCAGATTGTAGAAACATATTCTAAAGTTTATAAATTAGATTTTATTCTGAATTAAATAACATGTGTGATAATGTTTTAAAACTTTAAAAATGCTTTGTATACTGAATCACTAGGATACCCAATGACTGGGTAACAGGTGGAACACCTCACTTTGGTGATAAATTTGTTTTCAAGCTGTCACTCGTAGAATTCCACCAAAGTACCTATTAAATTCCATATTTTGAAAGTTTTATATAACAGTATGATCGTCTTAATAGCTTCTGGGGAAAAGTTAGATTGGCTTATAAGCTTACTTTTATGATTTTATTAGTAACCTTTGTTCATACTTGCATTTAACAAATTTTAAATGACATGTGGTAATAGCTACAAACACCAGAGAGGTCAGTCAGATGGACTAGCAGAAGACAGCTGTGTGCTGTCAAGAGTGCGAAGGGAACCTTTAGTGGGATTTAACATGCACATACTTAGACTCATCTTATAGGTACAGTTCGGAGTCCTGGTGTGGCGCTGTGGGTTAATGCGCCAGACTGCAAAGTCGTTTGAACTGCAAGATCGTCAGTTCAAGCTCACCAGCTGCTCCTTGGAAACCCTACACAGGGTTGCTATGGGTCTGAATCGACTCGACAGCACTTAACAACATCAATAGGTACAGTTCAGACGGCTCTGGACAAATGGAGAAATCCAAGCAAATGCCAGGCTTGATTTCTGGACTTTAAGTTGCTAGTGAATACACCAAGTCATGCTTAAATAGAAGTATTTAGGGCTCTGTGGATATAAGCCCTAAGTTGTTGGGTAGAAAAAAAGTGCTCAGCTGCTGACCATGTGGGCCATTCGAAACCACCCAAGGGCTCCTCAGAAGAAAGGACTGGCAGTCTGCCTCCAAAAAATCCCAGAAACTGAAAACCCTGTGGAGCGCAGTTCTCCTCTGAAAATGGAGGGCATCGGGAATCAGAATCAGCTCAGCTGGTTTTGGTTTTGTCCTTTGGAGATAAACATAGACCTGTTATGAAGGATTTCCCAATTGATTGGGCCCTGGTACCAGATTAATATAAACATTCAACAGTTTTACATAACTTCACTGGGATTATAAACTGGGCAGGCAGAAACCAATTCGGGGGGTGGGGTGGAAATATGTAGACTTTTAAGTCATAGCAGTGTGGTCATTGTTTCATAGGTGTTGGTTAGTCAGGATATCAGTGTGATCTAGAAACAACCAGTTATTACAGAGAAGACTTAAGCTACAAATTTAAGCCACCATCACTTTATTTTTATTTTATTGTAAAGCATTCTCATTTCTCAGCACAATGTACCTAATTTGAAAGCTAGGGTTTAGTGATAGTTTGATTAGAATATCTAATTTGTAGAGCTGGGCTTGTTTGTGGTATTAAAAAGACAGTATTGAAGATTTTCCTTTTGAAGAACTTCAGATATTCACTAGGAAATCAAATATCTTTAAAAACTCAAAGTTTCATACCATAAGTTCTTTGGTCAAATTTCTAATAGATTAAAATTTATAATAATTAGGTATAACTAATATAACCTGGAAAGTAACATAAGGGAACCTCAAAAAGTTGGTAGGGTCCTGGTATGTCTCTGTGGGTTAATACACTAGACTGTAAGATCAGTTTGAACTTCAGGGTTGGCAGTTCAAGCTTAACAGCTGTTCCTCAGAAACCCAGTACAGGGTCGCTATGGGTCAGAACCGACTCAACAACACTTAACAACAACATACAAGGGAACATTTTATGAATATGCTATTAGAAATAATGGCACTTAGAAATAATTTTAAATTAGCTGTTTTGTCTCCATATTAAATTTGAACATTAGAAGTAGCAAAAATATTTTCAGTATAAGAACTAATTTGTTAATTTGTATAACTTAACTACAAAACATGAATTTTTTTTTTAAAGTTGATGTTAAGTGCTGTTGAGTCGGTTCCGACCCATAGTGACCCTGTATATGGTTTCCAAGGAACCGCTGATGAGATTGCACTGGTACCCATAATTTTGATTTAAATATATTAGTGTTTATAGAATTTGCATAGTGTGTATCAGCTAAGATACACCTTCTTCCTGTCTGTTGAATGTTGTACTCAGGGCATGGTTGTTAAAAGATCTTTTCACTTTTTAAGCTTTTTCATTTATTAAATTATAACTTAATGTATAGTAAGTGCTGTTGACGTTATGTAAGACAGTAACCATATTAAAGTAGAATCTATTTGAATTCATTAACCTATCTTTTCCAATACAGTTAAGTAAGTTTTGTATAAATTTCTGTGAAGAAGCTATTGTCCTTGTTGAAATCTGATTCATAGCAACCCTTTAGAAATGCCTTATAGAGTTTCCAAGGTTGTAAATCTTTAGGAAACTGCCGCATTGAAGCAACTTGTGGGTTACAGCCGCCAACCTTTCTGTTAGAAGCTGAGCGCTAAACACTGTTCCACCAGGGTTCCTATAAAGAATCTACAAGGTATTCATTTTGAGATACTGTGGCATGAAATTCAGTAGTGTAGTGTATGTGCGTAGACAATGATGTTAATGAATTATCAGCATGCAGTAAAAGGAATGGGTTAGCATCCAGAGCTGCCATTCTGTAGCCTTCCAGCAAGATTCCTGAGATGCTTGCTGTCTGAAGTCAGTGCTGACTTCAACACAGAGCTGTCACTTTTGCTTCAAGATTAGTCTTTCATGAGGGGGAAAACTGTGTTAGTGGGTAAAAGTGTGGTGGCAGCAGCAGGGGGAAGAAGAACTGTAAAGAGTGACCTGAAAGCATAGTAATGGAAGACGTTAACAAAAGGGAACCTAGGGTGGGCTACTATCTTTACCCTTTCTCATCACATCTAAAGCTAGTCTAAAATACACATTTTATTGACATTTAAAAATAACCTGATGATTTAACCATAACTTAATTCACTAATTAAATGGTGTTCCTATTTTTACTGATAGAATTATTGACCCTCTACTCCCTCCCTTATTTTTTTAAGATTCAAGATGACCAACGAAGAACCTCTTCCCAAAAAGGTATGCTTTTTCAGCAGTTGTTTTTGTTTTGTTTTGTTTTAATGAGTTATAGAGTTGAAGAGGCCATTGTCATTGTTTATTTTTTATTCATACCTTGCCTTAAGCACAATAATAGCATTGTGGTTATATAGTATACCAGATGCTATAACTTGCATGCTGTATATTTGTAGATTATTTTCGGTTCTTGGAAAAATAATGATATTCTCATGGTCTTCTCTTAGACTTTATTATGCAAATAATTCCAACTACTTATCTACAAATTAGGTCAGTAAAAGAGATTAATTAACTTTTAATTGTGAGTTGAGTGAAGGGTTACAGAGCAGATCATCTGTTTTACACTCAACAAATCATAGACTGCTTCATTACAATGATTGCAGTCCCCGCCATGTACCAACATTAACAGTACTTACCTCTCTTTCCTTTAACTCTTGCACTCGTTCCCTGTGTCTCCTGCTAATTTTCATCTATCCTCTGCCAACTTTCCTCTTGTATATTGTCAGCCCCGTTACCCATGTTAATATTTGTCTACCCTCTAGCCCATGAATAATTCTCTCCCCTCCAATCCCTACAAATTACTTCTTTTTCTCTCCTAATTTAAATTCCTTTGGTTTTAATTTAAAGCTATTTCATGTTTTTGAGAAAAGGTCACCACTTACTGCCCTGGTAGTATTGGGCTGTAAACTTCAAGGTCAGCAATTCAAGTCCACCAGCCACTCCTCAAGAGAAAGATGAGGCTTTCAGCATCCATAAAGATTTTGTTGTTGTTAAATGCTGTCGAATCGGTTCCGACCCATAGCGACCCTGTATAGGGAGCAACTGGTGAGCTTGAACCACCGACCTTGCAGTTCAACTTTGCAGTCCAGCGCATTAACCCACAGCGCCACACCAGATTCCTTTACAGCTTCAGAAACCCTCCATAGGGTCACTAGGACTCGGCACCAACAACTCAACAGTATACGCAGCAGTTGCTTTCCTTACAGTTCTTAGCTGCCACAGAGGTGACCCCAGTGCATGCATGTGACCCATCCACGAAAAATCAGATTGCTGTTAGCCATAGAGCCTAACTTTTCTGGTCTCATTTTTTCCCTGTTCTACATCCCTGCATAAATTTTGTTTAGTCACTAATGTATATTCGTGTGTAAGCGAGAATAAAGAAACCAAAGCCACTGCCGTGGAGGTGATTCTGACCCATAGCAACCCCTTAGGACAGAGTATAGCTGCTTATAGGGTTTCTAAGGCTGTAAATCTATACGGAAGCAGTCTGTCCATCTTTCAGTTAGCAGCCGAGTGCTTAACCACTGCACCACCAAGGCTCCTTCTATGAACAAACATTGCCACAAACAAAGAACATCGTTTGTTAAGAGGACTTTGTATTCCAGTTAGGAAAACAGGGTATATGCTACTAAACAGTGGATGTCTGAAGTGAACAATTTAGAAAAGTTCTATGGAGTCCTGGTGTGGCACTGCAGGATAAGCACTGGGACTGCAAAGTAGTCATTCAAATTCAAACTCACCGGCTGCTTCTCAGAAACTCTACACAGGATCACTGTCAGTCAGAACCACCCTATAGCAGTGGAAACTTTTATCTTCATGAAATTAATAAAGTAATCTGAGAACTGGAGTCCTAGTGTGGCACTGTGGATTAATGTGTGCTGTATTGCAAAGTCAATTTGAACTGCAAGGTTGGCAGTTCAAGCTCTCCAGCTGCTCCTCGGAAATCCTATCCAGAGTCCCTACGGGTCAACAATCTGAGAAATGTTCTAGTATAATTATCTCCCAAGAGAAGCTGTTGTTAATGCTATCACGTCAGTTCCAACTCAAGCGACCCCATATAGGGTTTACAAGGAGCCGCTGATGGGTTTAAACTGACAACCTTGTAGTTCGCAGTTCAGTACTGATCTTACAGCGCCACCACGTGGCTCTGTGGTGCTGCCCCTTTATAGCCACACCCATTCTTCCCTCACAAACCTGATTCCTCTCACCTCTCTCATTATGTTGTTTCATGTATGTTATATAAATGAAATCATGCAGTGTGTATCCTTTTGAGACTGCCTCTTTTTACTCAGCGTAATTTCCTTGAGGTTTACCCACGTTGCCTCTTGTATCAGTGGGGTCTGCAAGGTATCCTCTGTTCTCTAAACGTTCCCTACGCCATTTTGCTTTTATAAAAGACTTAGCTGAGCGCTTGTTGTTGTTAACTAAAAGAACTCTAAAGATTTTTCACTTTCATAAAGAAAGGCTAAATGTGAAACAAGCATTTAGTGTTGGTTTTGCAGTGCGAGTGGTTAATGAGGCAGCATGTACCCCAAGTGGCATCACTGCACTCCTGCCTCTGGAAACTGCATTGAGCCACCATAGCTTTGAACTGTGTCTATGAACATATATTTTAGTGCTATATTAGGTTTTATGTGTTTTTTTTGGTATGGTCTAGTAGGTTGCTTTTTAGGACTGGTAAGACTCAGAAATTGTTCCCACGTAAGTTGATGATAACTGTGTCTTCACTTTATGATAGGTTTCATAGGAATGCTCTACTTTTGAAAAGAGGGGAAACCTGTTTGTATTTCTTTTTGCTGCTGAATAATACTCCCTAGTATGGCTCAACCATGTTTATCATTCACCTGTTGTTAAAGGACATTCGAGAAGTTTCTAGTTTTAGCTACTGTGAATAAACTGAACATTAATATGTAAGTTTCTATGTGAAAATAATATTTCATTTCTTTAGGATAAATGCTCAAGAATGCTGGGTGGTGTGATATATCTATTTTTAGTTTTAAAGTGAACTCTAAACTATTCTTAAGAATTGGTTCTACTATAGTATATTCCACCAGCAATGTATGAGAGTTTCTCCACATCTTTGCCAGCATTTAACCTCACTAATAAGCCTGTAATGATAGCTCATTGGAATTTTAATTAGCATTTCCCTGAGAATGAAGCCCATTTTAAGATACTAAATAGTTCATCCTTTAAAAACTTCTTTGCCCAAGAAAAAAATCTTTTTTAAAATTCATAATATGTAATAATGAGCCATTCAAGTCTCATACTCTGGGATAGTTCAGACCTCCTTTTGGGATAACTGACAATGTTGTTGTTATGTGCTGTGGAGTTGGTTCTGACTATTAGCGACCCTGCACGGGGTTTCCAAGGCTATAAATCTATAAGGGAGCAGAAAGCTTCATCTTTCTCCCACAGAGAAGGTGGTAGTTTCGAACTGCAAAATAGGAGGGATTAAAACAAGTGTTGACGAGGTTGCAGGAAACTGGGATCCTCACCCATTGACGATGGGAATATAAATTGGTGCAGCCACTGTAGGAAACAGCTTGGTGGTTCCTTCAAAAGTAGGGCACAGAATTACCATATGATACTCATTAATCCGAGTCCTAGGCTTATACCTTGTAGAAGTGAAGGCAGGAACACACACAGACACCTGTAAACCAGTGTTTGTTGGAGCACTTTACACAGTAGCCAAAAGGTAGTACCACCCGAAATGTTCCACAACAGATGATGACTGGACAAACTGTGATGTATTCCTGCTGTGGGATGTTATGCAATTGTAAAAGAATTGAAGCTTTGATACATATGAAAACATTATGCTGAGAGAAATAATCTGTCTCAATAAATCAACAACAAGGTATGATCTGACTTATATGAAATTAGCAAATATATACCCCCAAATCAAAAAAGCCACCATTGAGCTGATTCTGACTCATTGTTGTTAAGTGCTGTCAAGTCGATTCCGATTCATAGCAACCCTGTATAGGGTTTCCAAGGAGCAGTTGGTGAGCTTGAACCACCAACCTTGCAGTTCAAATGACTTTGCAGTCTGACACATTAGCCCACAGCGCCACACCAGGACTCCAATTCTGACTCATAGTGACCCTTCTGGGGTTTTGGAGGCTGTCAATCTTTACACAAGGGGACAGCTGCCTCTTTCTCCTGAGGAGAGGCTATTAGGTTAGACCATTGAGCTTGTGGTTAGCAGCCCAACCGTACCATCAAGACTCCTTAAGCAAATACCAGATAGAATGGGAAAGAGTTTAATGTTACTGTTTTTAGGAAATGGTGGGAAAGGATAGCAGTAATGGTGGCACAGCATAAACAGTATAGTCGGTGTCACTGAATTGTGAGTGTGAAAGTTGTGTTAGTGGAAATTAAGGTGTGTATATTTTTACTGCAATTAATCCTGCCTTCATGAAAATGATGTAGACCATAAATATTAGTATTTTAATATTTGAAAATTTTAAGAACTCTTAATATTTTGATTTTCCTCTTTATAGGTTCGACTGAGTGAAACAGACTTCAAAGTTATGGCACGAGATGAATTGATTTTAAGGTAAAATATGCTCTTATCAAAAACAATATAAATTTTAAAACATATAAAATCAAATAAAGATTTACATCCTCACCAAAAATAAATAAATAAAAAAATAAAATTTGTACTATAGAGCATTGTCATCTGACTTTACATAGGGTGTGAGATGGGTTATTTCTAAGGTAAAATGTTCTTTGATCAAAAATAAATTGTAACCCCCCTCAAAGACTGAAACTCAAAGGGAAAACTCATAAGTAGGCATGTAAGCTTGCTGGTGGCCACATTAGACTACTGGTGAGTGGAAGGAGGGACAAAGGCAGCAATGTTGAAATGGGCTGAGTTCAACCACATTCCACAGACTTCCGTAGACCTGGAGATGAGAGAGAGAAGAGGAAGAAGGCATGGTTGGTTCAAAGTGTGGTGAGACCTGGGGACATCTGAGCCCATGGACAAGGACATAGCCACGGAGGGCTAGAGTTGAGCTTGAAGTATCCAGCTGATATGAAATAGAGGGGGGAGACACACAAGAACATCCAAACTTGCAGATAGTGCCCATTTGACCTAGCCTTGATAATCAACTCGACTAGAGGAAGGTTTTTTGTTTTTTTGTTGTTGGTTTTTTTTTTTGGATAAAGAAAATGAGGATAAACTGCTATACAATTTGATGAACTTGACCTATACTCATGGAGGTGGTGATGGTTATGTGCCGTGGAGACGGTTCTGACTCATAGTAACCTTGTACAGGGTTTCCAAGGCTGTAAATATTTACGGGGGCAGAAAGCCTCATCTTTCTCCCACGGAACAGCTGGTAGTTTCAAACTGCTAACCTTGCAGTTCACACAGTCCGATTCATAATGAACAGAGACGGAAGGAGTCTTCATGTCAAGTATCAGTGGTATCCCCTCTGTATACAAAGTAGATAGGGATGGGCAACATTGGCTACCTAAAATGAAGGGGCGATAAAGGCACAAAGTGACTGGCATACAAGGTTTCCAGATGGAGTTTTGTTTAATAGTATGGGTGTGGGGGAGATGGAGTCCCCATTAAATAGTTTTCATCTTGTCTGGATGGATCTGGTAAAAAGAGATGGGGATAAGATTCTTATGATTCAATAGTGAGTAATTGTTATCATGACTAATTGCGACTGTCATCATTTTAAAGGTAGAAGTTTTGTAACAAAAACGGGTGGGGGGGGGTGCGGGTAAATCTTACAGTCCAGAAACAGAGGACGCTAGGACCATCAAGAGAGAAGAACACAAGCGGAATGCGGGACCCTCTCCAGAGAAGCAGGGACACCAGAGATGGGGACATGGAGAGAGGGAGCAGCTGAGGACTCTAGATTCATGGGAACAGAGGGACTCAGAGTTGGAGGCCAGGAGGCAGGCTTGCAGAATGTGTCCTTTGGTGGTTTAAATTATTATGTATGCCTGAGTGGTTTTATTTATTTATTTATTTGAAAGCTTAAATCGATAGAAATACTGTTATCTGATGGTTGGAGGGCCTTATGATCATTGTAATGAAGCAGGGTTTATGATTTGTTGAATGTAAAACTGATGGTCTGCCCTGTAAACTTTCATTCAGTTCACAATAAAAACTTTAAAAATAAATAAATTATAGAGCATTATTTACAGACTATAATGTTTGTTTGTAATGTTAATAAATTCACAAATTATTTGTAGTATGCTTTTTTAACATTCTTTATATGACCTGTTTCTTCATTATATAAATACTGAGGAAGACAGTACTAAGGAGCTAAAACCCTAGCTTGGATAACTTCCTGAATTTTTTTGTCAAAGAAATGAGATATTCAGAATTTTTACTTGAAAAGCATTTGTATTTCATCTGTGCAACTTTCTTTGGGGAATGTGGTGGTGGTGTTAGGTCTCATCAGGTCGGTAACAACTCATGGTGACCCTATGTACAATAGAATGAAACACTGCCTGGTCCTGGTCTAACCTCACAATTGTTGCCACTCTTGAGCCCATTAATGCTGTCACTTTGCCAGTCCATCTCACTGGAGGTCTTCCTCTTTTTCTCTGACTCTCCACCTTACCAAACATGATATCCTTCTCCAGTCCCTCCTAACAATATGTCCAAAGTATGAGAGACGAAATCTGGCCATCCTGGCCTCCAAGGAGCGTTCTGGTTGTACTTCTTCCAACCCAGATCTGCTTGTTCTTTTGGCAGCCCATAGTACTTTGAATATTCTCCTCCAAAACCATAACTCAAAAGCATCAATTCCACAGTCTTCCTTATTCACTGTCCAGCTTTCGCATGTATATGACGTTATTGAAAATACCATGGCTTGGGTAATAGCAAGTATGTACTCTTAAGAGCCTACCTTCAGGAAGCATTTAATTAAACATGTTATGCAAGTCTTGTGTTTACTGTTCTCCTGATGCAGCATTTCTTCCTTTGTTGTTGTTAAGTGCCATCGAGTCGGTTCTGACTCATAGCGACCTTATATACAGCAGAAGGAAACACTGCCCAATCCTGGGCCAACCTCACTACTGTTGCTACGCTTGAGTCCATTGATGCTGCCACTTGGCCAATCCATCTTGCTGGGGGTCTTCCTCTCTTTCTCTGTCCCACCACCTTGCCAAACATGATATCCTTCTCTAGCAACTGCTCTCTCCTGACAATATGTCCGAAGTATGAGAGACGAAGTTTGGCCATCTTGGCCTACAAGGATCACTCTGGCTGCACTTATTCCAACACGGATCTATTGGTTCTTTTTGGCAGCCCATGGCCCTTTCAGTATTCTCCTTCAACACTATAACTCAAAAGGATCAATTCTTCTACGATCTTTCTTATTCACTGTCCAGCTTTTGTATGCATATGAGGTTATTGAAAACACCATGGCTTGGGTCAGGTGCACCTTAGTCCCCAAGCGTCAGTTTTTCAACACTTTAAAAAGGTCTGGTGCAGCAGATTTGCCTAATGCAATACGTCGTTTGATTTCTTGACTGCTGCTTCTGTGAGTGTTAATAGTTGATCGAGGAAGATTGAACTCCTTGACAAATTCAATCTTTTCTCCATTGATAAGAATGTTGTTTATTGGTCCAGTGGTGAGGGTTTTTGTTTTCTTTACATTGAGATGTAATCCATACCGAAGGCTGTGCTTTGTGATCTTCATCAGCAAATGTTTCAAGTCCTCTTCACTTTCAGCAAGCAAGGTTGTATCATCTGCATATTGCAGGTTGTTAATGAATCTTCCTCCAATCCTGATGCCACGTTTTTCTTCATATAACACACCTTCTCAGATTATTTGCTCAGCATACAGGTTAAATAAGTATGGTGAAAGAGTACAACCTTGTCACACATCTTTATTAATTTTAAACCATTCAGTGTTCCCATGTTCTGTTCGAACAACTGCCTCTTGGTCCAGGTACAGATTCCTCATGAGCACAGTTAAGTGTTCCGGAATACTCATACTGCATAATGTTGTCCATAACTTGTCATGATACACACAATCGAAAGCCTTTGTGTAGTCAATTGTTGTTGTTAAGTGCCATTGAGTCTGTTCCGACTCATAGTGACCCTGTACAGGGTTTCCGTGGCTGTAAATCTTTAAGGGAGCAGAAAGCCTCATCTTTCTCCCGTGGAGTGGCTGGTAGTTTCAAACTGCTGACCTTAAGATTCGCAGCCTGATTCGTAACCACTACGTTACCAAAGCGTAGTCAGTAAAGCACAAGTAAACATGTTTCTGACATTCTCTTGCTTTCAGCCAAGATCCATCAGACATGAGCAATGGTATCCCCTCATTCCATGGCCTCTTCTGAATCCGGCTTGAACCTCTGGAAGTTCTCTGTTAATGTATGCTTGCAGCCATTTCTGTATTACCTTTAGTAAAACTTTACTCGCGTGGAATGTGAAAGAGATTGTCCGATGATTTCAGCATTCGGTTGGGTCACCTCTCTTTGGAATGGGCACAAATACGGATCTCTTCCAATCAGTGGGCCAGATAGTTATCTTCCAAATTTCTTGGCAGAGATGAGTGAGTATCTCCTGTGCCACCTCACTTTCTTGAAAGATTTCAATGTTTATTCCATCAATTCCTGGTGCCTTGTTCTTTGCCAATTACTTCCATGCACCTTGGACTTCTTCCTTCAGTATCATTGGCTCTTGATCATATGTTACCTCTTGAAACGGTTGAACAGTAACCATTTCCTTTTGGTACAGTGACTCTGAGTATTCCTTCCATCTTTTGATGCTTTCTGCATCACTCAGTAATTTGCCCAGAGAATCTTTCAGTAACCAAAGTTGAGGCATGAATTTTTCTTCAGTTCCCTCAGCTTGAAAAATGCTGAGCATGTTCTTTTTGGTTCTCTGATTCCAGATCTTTGCACATTTTGTTGTGATATTTGGCTTTATCTTCTCAAGCTGATCTTTGAAATTTTCTGTTCAGCTCTCGTACTGCTTCATTTCTTCCATTTGCTTTAGCATCTCTATGCTGTAGAACAAGTTTCAGCATCTCTTCTGACATCTGTCTGTTCCTCTAAAGCATACAGTTCTTATGATTGTTGTTGTTAAGTACCATCGAGTCAGTTCTGACCTATAGCAACCCTGTATAGGGTTTCCAAGGAGCACCTGGTGAGCTTGAACCACCAATTTGGCAGTTGTTGTGTAGCCTCCCTAAAAGGCCTTTATTCATTCCTAAACATTTCATGGACTCCTACAAATCACCACCACCACCTGTGCCCTAGTTTGGTGCACATAGAAATCACATCCCGTTGGCTAAATCATCTGGATATAGAAGGTAGGGTAGCCTAGTGTGTTGGAAAATATTTTCGTAATGTTACAGTGTTAATAAATCTCATACAAACCTGTCAGTACTTCTAATATTTAGAGATTCTGAAAAGTTTTTCTAGAATTTAAGTTAATTTTGATGTTATTGATAAGTGCTATCGAGTCAGTTCTGATTTAAAGTGACCGTGTATAGGGTTTCCAAGGAGCGACTAGTGGAGTTTAAATCACCAACTTTGTGGTTAGCAGTCTAGTGCTTGTCATTACAGCACCATGCCTGCATTTCTAATTTTGTTTAGCAGTAACTAAGGTGCTGCTTAAAGGAAAAAAAAAAAAAAAAACCACATCTTTGTAGTAAGCAGATATCAGGCATTCGGGACAGGGTAGTGTACGCTCTAGTAGCAGTTACTTAAGCATAAAACCAAAATGCTCCTGTTCACCTTCAGTAAATGTAAAGAACAGATGGATGTTTGTTGAGGAAGGACAATCCCCTCCTACTACCCCAGTAGCATATGGAATTGGAATTTATGCAAGCTGTTCCTGCCAGGTGGCTGCGGTTTTAGAACTAGGAAATCCCCAGCTGTCTAATCGATTTCAACTAAGTGACCCTATAGGACAGAGTAGAACGGTGCCCATCAGGATTCTTAGGCTGTAAATCTTTCCAGAAGCAGACTGCCTCATCTCTCCCATGGTAAAGCTGGTGGGTTCGAACCTCCAACCTCTTGGTTAGCAGCCCATCACCAGGGTTTCACTTCAGAAAAACAGTTGAAAAATATTTTATTCTTTCCCTATTTTTACAGGTAAAAGTGAATAATAGTTTGAGAATCATATAGTATTTTCATAAAAGAGCCAAGAAAGAATACCCTCAGTCTTAGAAACCTTTCTTACGTGCCTTTTGGTTTAGGTGTCCAGCACATCTGACAGTCGTATGTTTTGGGGTTTTTTTAAGCAGTAAGATTTGTATGCCATTTCTTGTGTATTTTAGACTTTGTACTGAGCACTAGTAATACAGAAGGGGTGGGGATAAGGCATGTGTCCTGACTTCTGGAGTTCATGCAATGCAGTCTCAGCACAGCGCAGTTTTCCCTGCCTAGCGCCTTTTTCCTCTCTCCTGATTGAGTAGTGAAGTTTTTATTGGTTGAACTAGGTTTATTAGCTCTCAAAATTGGAAGAGACCTTAAAAATCATCCTATAGAATTGTTGGTATAATTGTGCTTGTGGGTGTGATTTTCTGCTCTGCTTAGTAGAAGGAATTTTATCTTAACAACTCATATGTGAATTTCCATCTGTCCTAGATGGAAGCAGTATGAAGCCTATGTACAAGCTTTGGAGGGAAAGTACACAGATCTGAACTGTAAGTGTGTCTGCGTTTCAGAGTCCTAAGAACTGCGTGACTCGTGTTCTCTAAGATTGTTGTTATAAACACAGGATAATTCATTTTACTAAAGCAAATGTAATTTTAATTAAGCATTTTATTTAAAAATAATGTCCAGGGGATTGTGTTGGGTGCTGAGAAATATCTGGTTGATTGAAACATCTCTTGGCTCGCGGGGCCACAGGTCACTGAGGAAGACTACACGTACTAGTCATATAGTGGGCTGACTAGTAGAGTTTCATACAGGGTTCTCATAACATTGATCCCCAAACTTCGTTTGTCCCTGTTCTTATATAGATGAATTTGAATTGAATTAAAGAGTCTAGATGACTGACAGAAAGAAACAGTGATAAATTTATGAGAGTTTAAATTGTACAATTAAGATATAGCTGTATATTTGCAAGTTTTTCAAAATCTCCGAAAACTAGTACTCACAGTTTATTTCAGTTTGTTTTTTAAGTCTTATCACGTTTCACTGAATTAGATAATATACGATTGTTAGTATAAAAAGCAATGTAGTTATCCAGGTACAGAAAGCTGTTTAATACCCAAAAATGTCAATAAATGCATGCTTATATTATATCTGGAGTGTTGGTGTGACACTGTAGAATAAACACTGGACTACAAGGTCAGTTTGAACTGCAAGATCAGTGATTGACTCACTAGCTGCTCCTCAGAAACCCTATACAGGGTCTCTTTGAGTCGGAACCAGCTTGAATGCACTTAACAACAATCTATCTTTACAAGCTAATAAGGCTTGCAAATTTTAGGGTGACTAATGGCCCATGTCGTTTTTGTTCACTGTTAAATGCAGTCAAATCGGTTCTGACTCAACAACAGTGGATTTAAACCACCGATTTTGTGGTTACTGTTGTTAAGTGCAATTGAGTTTGTTCCAACTCCTAGCAGCCCTATATCTAGGGTGTCCTCGAAGTGGCTGGTGTACACTGACCTTGTAGTTCAAACCACCTTGTGGTCCAGTGCTTAGCCTACAGAACTACACCAGGACTCTTGCAATTAGTAGAAGTATAAACATGTAGTAAAGTTTCCCGTGGTCCATTGGGAATGAATTAAATGATAAAAACGTAGTGCAATCTAGTATTGTTGTTGTTAAGTTCCATTCAACTCGGTTCTGACACAAAGCGACCCTGTATAGAGTTTCTGAGGAGCAGCTGGTGAGCTTGAACCTCTGACCTTACAGTTCAAACCGCCCTTGCAGTCCAGTGCATTAACCCACAGCGCCACACCAAGATTTTAGGTAGTTATAAAATTAGTTGGACTAGAAACTAAAGACTTGATAATGAATTTTTTTTCACTGTCATTTTATTATTCTTGACAGAGGCAACAGAACTTTCTTAGGCTTGTATTTTATTCAACTTGAGCTTAAACTTATATTTCATAATATTTGGGGGGTTTTTTTCCCGCTTTGTCATCAGCTAATGATGTGACTGGCTTAAGAGAGTCTGAAGAAAAACTAAAGCAACAACAGCAAGAATCCGCACGCAGGGAAAACATCCTTGTCATGAGACTAGCAACCAAGGAACAAGAGATGCAAGAGTGTACTGTAAGTACTTCAGACTTCGCGAGTCTTTCATTGAAGAATTTTACTTTAATCTCCATTATTACATGTTAGTTTTATATAGGCATACTTCTAAATATAGGAGTCCTGGTATGGCAATGTGGGTTAATGAGCTGGATTGCAAAGTCTGTTTGAACTGCAAGGTCGGCAGTTCAAGCTCACCACCGCTCCTTGGAACATGGTCACTGTAAGTCAGAACCTACTAGACAGTACACAACAGCAAATATAAGCCCATATTTTGTTGGGAGATAATTTTGAGCTGTAAATATGCTACATGTAAATTTTTGGTAGATAACATCTCATCATTTGGGTTTAAAGTTTTTGTGAGGGCAACATGTCATTTTCTGAAATGCCTGCCCATGTTTTATGTGAATTAGTGTATTAATCCAGCATGTTTCATTTAGCTTGATTTCTGAGAGCATAATCGATAACATTTGCTGCGGTGTTTTTTTTTGCCCCCATTGTCCAGGCAAGCCATGTGATTAATTTCTGTTCTTCAATCTCTTCTATGCATAACACTTTTTTTTCTAGTATCAGTGACATCTGTCTTTTTGTATGGTTTTCATTTGAATTATTCACCATTGTCTATATCAACTGAAATCTAATGACATAACTGATTAGCTTTGGTTGAATGTAAACTAAATTTTATACTGTCTTTGACCGTGTTAGCTATTGTTTATGTAGTATGTGTTTATATTAATAAATGTTAAGTGCCATCAAGTCTGTTCAACCTTGCAGTTAGCAGGACTCCATAATAAATTATACTACATCATTCTGTCACTGTCTAATTTTAAGTCTGAAATATTCACTTTTGTGTAGTGTAACATCCATTCAGAATGAATTAAAATGTATATAGAGAGAGGTAGATAGCCTGGACACTTGGTTCCTAATAGTCCCGCCAATAAATATAATTTTTTTGTTATTCTGTATCTTCTCTCTGCCCTCTTCCCCCAATTATTTGTTGGTTTTGGTTTTAAGTTTTTATTGTGAACTAAGAGAAGGTTTACAAAGCAAATTATCAATTTCACATTCAACAAATCATGTGTTTCCTTTGGTTACAATGATTGTAATCCCCTCCATGTACCATCAGTTAACAGAATTTATCTCTATCCATTTTACTGATGCATTTGAGTTATGGTGTTGGAGGAGAATATTGAAAGTACCATGGGCTGCCAAAAGAACAGATCTTTGTTGGAAGTACAGCCAGAGTGCTCCTTGGAGGCCAGGATGGCCAAACTTCATCTCTCATACTTCAGACATATTGTCAGGAGGGACCAGTCACTGGAGAAGGATATTACGTTTGATAGGGGGGAGGGCCAGAGAAAAAGAGGAAGACCCTCAGCGAGATGGATTCACAAAGTGACAGCATCAGTAGGCTCAAGTGTGATAATTGTGAGGTTGGCCCAGGACTGGGCAGTGTTTCATGCTGTTGTGCATATGGTCACTATGAGTAGGTACCGACTGGATGGCACCTAGTAATAACAACCTCTATTCACGTAATTTTTTTTCATCCCCTCCCCGCCACCTGTCCTGTAAACATCATAGAATATTTCATGGTTTCATGCAGTATTTGTCCTTTTGTGATTGACTGATTTCACTCAGCATAATCTCCAGGTTCATCCATGTTATAAGGTGTTGTACACATTCTTCCTTCATCTTCACATTTTGTAATATTCCATTGTGTGTATGTATGAAACTTTAACAATTTTTCTGTTAGTGGGCATATAGGCTGTTTCCATCTTTTTGCTATTGTGACCAATTGTTTTCCTTTTTCTCTTTTTGAATTGAGTGGGTACTGCCTTTCAACCATCCTTTCTTGCCTTTGCTGGTGTTCAGATCTACCATTTACTCAAAAGTTTTTGATCCACTGTTTGCATGACACTGCTAGATGCGTATGCATACAAAGACAAACTCATACCTACTTGAATTCTACCTCCAAAATGATGCCTTCTTTTTCTTCTTTCTTTGAAGTGTTTATTGTGAATTGAGTGTAAGTTCACAGGACAGATCATCGGTTTTACATTCAGCAAATCCTATACTTTGTTTCTTTGTAATGACTATAATCCCCTTCATGTATCATCGGATAACAGTATTTTCTTTTTATTCATTTTAGCTTTTTTTTTTTTTAAACACTCAAGCATATATAATAAACAACAAAAAGGCGCATTTCTGCAAGCCTGCCGTCTGCCTCCAGCTCTCAGTCCTCTCTTCCCATGAATCTGGAGTCCTCAGCTGCTCCCTTTCTCCATGTCCCCATCTCTGGTGTCCCTGCTTCTCTGGATTGGGTCCCGGATTCTGCTTGTACTCTTCTCCCTTGATGATCCTAGGGTCCTCTGTTTCTGGACTGTAAGATTAACCACTCCCCCCCCGTTTTTGCTACAAAACTTCTACCTTTACAATTGTGACAGTCGCAATTAGTCGTGATAACAATTACTCACTATTGAATCATAAGAATCTTATCCCCATCTCTTTTCACCAGACCTATCTAGACAAGATGAAAACTATTCAGTGGGGATTCTGTCTTTCCCCACACACTCTTAAACTAAACTACCTTGTATGCCAGTCACTTCATGCCTTTATTGCCCCCTAATTTTAGGTAGCCAATGTCTAAGTTGCCCGTCCCTGTCTACTCTGTATACAGAGGGGAAAGCCTTGATACTTGATGTGAAGACTCCTTCCCTCTCTGGTGGTGTTTTGAGCTACTACCTCCACGAGTATAGGTCAAGTTAATCAAATTGTAGCAATTTACCTTCATTTCCTTTATCAAAAATTGTGTTTTTCAATCTTCCTTTAGTCGAGTTCTGATTATCAAGCCATCAAGTCTAGGTCAAAGGGTCCTACCTGCAAGTTTGGGTGTTCTTGTCCGTCTCCCCTTATTTCATGTCAGCTGGATACTTCACCCTCAGCTCTAGCCCTCTGTGGCTATGTCCTTGTCCATGGGCTCAGGTGTCCCCAGGTCTCACCAAACCTTGAACCATCCAGCCCTTCCTCTTCTCTCTCTCATCTCAACGTCATTGGGAGTCTATAGAACATGGTTGAACTCAGCCAATTTCTTCATTGCTGCCTTTCACTCTCTTCCATTCATCAGTAGACCAGTGTGGTCGCCCACAAGCTTACATGCCTGCTCATGTGTTCCCCTTACATTTCAGTCTTAGAGGGGGGTTTGTCCTGAAGGGACTTTATTGCTTGCCTTGATGACTTCTCGGCAAACAACTTGACTATTCTTGTAGTAGTCAATTATACTGCCATCTTTGTTTTGGAGTTTTCCTGATGATCTGTCTTTGAAGATGTATCTTCTCTTGCTCTAGCTGTTCCATACTGGTCTGTCTGTCTGTCCTTTCTAATGGGAATGTCCCACCTCAGAAAGTGCTGGATAGAGCTCAGGATTCCACCTAATGTCCTATACTCTGCAAAAACTCCACAAGAGGCCTATTTCACTGGGCAAGTTCTAGAACTCCTTTTAGATATTCCAATCAGTTATAGGCTGAAGACGGGCTTAAAAGCTTTCTGTAATCATGTTTCCCAACATTTCGTTCTATCCCACTCGTGTCTATTTTACAATAGTAGGCAAGGGATACCAATATTCATAAGACAGTAAAGCATCTTAGTATTATTTCCCTTCTTCAGACTATGCCTTGATCCCTGTATCACATAGCCCTGTTATTTCCAAGGTTGAGCATGCAGTTGATGCCTTCTGAAATCTTTGCGAGAGTAGTTATTCCATGTCCCTCTTCAAGTTTCTGGTGGCTTCTGGGAGCCCTTGGTACACTTTTGCTGCTTATTGACGCATGCGTGTCTGTTGTTACATGTCAACATTTAACTTCGCCCTATATATGAATCCCCTTTGAGCAGTTTCAAGTTCGTAGGTCAATGTTATAGTAAGTACAGAGACTTCCCACATACCTCCTCTTCACTTGCACGATTTTTCCTCTTGTTATCGTCTTGCAGATGTTTGGTATATTGAGTATTTATTAATTGAACAAATGCTGATACACTATTATTAACCAAACTTCACAGTTTACATTCAAGGAGCTCTGGTGGCATAGTGATTACAAGTCAGGCTACTAACCTCAAGGTTAGCAGTTCAAAACTACCAGCCATACCATGGGAGAAAGATGGGGCTTTCTGCTCCCGTAAAGATTGACAGCCTCAGAAACCCTATCCAGGGTCACTGTGGGTCAGAACCAACTCCATGGCACACAACCAACAGTTTACATCAGATTCCCTCTGTGTTGTACAGTTCCCTCTTCTATGGGTTTTGACAAATGCATGTCATGTGTCCATCATTAAAGTATCATACAGAATAGTTTCACTGCCCTAAAAATACCCTGTGCTCCACGAATGGACCCCTTTTCTTTCTACTTTTCCTCTGAATCATTGACAACCACTAATATTTCTATGCTGTCTATAAGTGCCTTTTCCAGGATGTCTTAGTCATATAATTGGGCTCTATACAGAGTCACATGGGTCGGAATCGACTCGATGGCACTTAACAACCACAACAAATAGAGTATATAGGGTTTTTCAGGTTCACTTCTTTCACTTGTTAAATTCAGTCTAGTTGGTTCCTACTCAAAGAGCCTCTGGATAGGCTGGTGAGTTTATACTGCTGCATTTTTGTTAGTAGTCCAGTGCTTATCCTACAGCACCACACCAGGATCCCATCGTTCATTTAGCAATATGTTCTTCAGATTCCTCCTTGACTTTTCATGGCTTGATGGCTAACTTCTTTTTATTGCTGAATAGTGATGGACCAAAGTTTGTGTATCCGTTTTCCTATTGAAAGTCATCTTGGTTGCTTCCAGTTTTGGGAAATTGCAAATAAGGTAGCTACGAACATGTATGCACAGATGTTTATGTGCACATATTTGCATTTCTTTGGGTAATCACTTAGTGTGATTGCTATATCATATGGTGGTGGTTGTTGTTATGTGCCGTGGAGTCTGTTCCGACTCATAGTGACCCCGTACAGCGTTTCCAAGGCT